ACAGAATTATTGTCCCTCCGGACTTTTTCCTTCGTGATGAATTTTCATGCAAGTATTGTTTGTCGTGAAGGAGTCTTGTGCATAAAAATTTGAGCTATAGTCGATGTGAGAAATTTGAAGAATTATACCTTTACATTTGAGTATGAAAACGCATCGATATCTAATGTCTTCAATTTCTTCTTCCAAATGATTTTTGACGTGAAAGCTTGATTTCAATCTTTTGCTTGCGCTCGATCATTTTTGGTACCTTGATTGTTCGTCTATGTATATGACTCTTGATCTCGATTTTTGAGTTATCATTCTTCCCACTAACAACACTTCAGATTCAATTTGTTAGAATTAAACGTAATTTGTTTGTGATAATCAAAACAAAAAGTCAACCATTAGGTCAACATGACCCACTTTATCTCTAGCGGTCAAAAATTCAATTCTCAAAATCCCTATCAAACAAGTTCTCACTACTAAAAAACATGGCTTCAGGCACGAATTTTCTGTTCCTGAAACCTCGATATCCATTGCTATTACTCTTTACCAACGAAATATTTGCAACCGCAAATCCGTTGCTAATTTGAGGGTCACTGATATTTACCAACAAATCTTGTTGTAGATAAAGAGTAAACAATTTACCAATGAATTTTTCATTAGTAAAGTGTGAATATTTTACCAATGGAATTTTCGTTCGTAAGAATCTTTACTAATACTAACCAAATTTTCATTGGTAAATGTCTACCATTACAATTGGTAAAAATTACTGTTGTAAATAATCGCATAGGTATGAGGCATGGAAAAAAAAATTATTTATTTATTTATTATTGTTATTATTATTTATTTAATAATTCTAATTTTTTTAACTTTTACCCAATCGAATTGAAAGGCAAAAATATTGTATAATCACTTATTGGACCACAAATTAATTTATAAAGGACAACTCCGAAAACTTTGTTATGAACTTTCGATGTGAGGTAAGTAAATTACTTTTACCAACAGATAATCCATTTCTAATTTCCAACGGAATATTCGTAGGTGGAAGATCCAAATGTTAAACGATTACATGAGACCCAAAATATTCGTTGGTAAAGAGCTATCATCGTTACCAATGAAAAATTCGTTTGCTGATTATCGTAGTTTAAAGTGAATTACTTTTACCATAGGATAATGTGTTTCTAATTACCAACGGATCACCTACAGTATCCATTGGTAATATTCAGTACGTCACCTACAAATATTTCGTAGGTGAAAGATCTAAATGTTAAACGGTTACATGAGACACGGAATATCCGTTGGTAAAGAGATATCATCGTTATCAATGAAAAATTCGGTGCTGATTATCGTAGCTGGAAGTGAATAACTTTTACAAACGGATAATCCGTTTCTAACTACCAACGAATTTAATCCGTTGGTAATTTGTCGTAGGTGAAAAGCATTTTTTAGTAGTGTCTATATATATAAAATATCCTTTTCTTTTTCTTATGGTCAAATTATTAACAATTGGTAAAAAATGTCGTGCAAAAAAGAATGATTAAAGGGGATTACGCGATGGTAACTCTGTAGGACTAAAACGAATTCATAAACAATTGTTGACAAACAGATAATGATTAAAGGGGATAAGATTAGATTAAAAAAAATTGAGACGTTGGTGGCTATAGGAATAAAAGAAATTGTTTATTGACAGGCAGAAATGAGAAGTTCAAGGGAATAAAGAAAATAAGAGAAAAAGGAAAAAGCTAAATCTGTGTGTGGTATAGGTAAGATAGGAAACTAATTTTCTAAATTAGTGGGTGGAAAAAATGGACACAAATTTATTTCCTATCATGCTTTTAAAAAATTGTCAGATATATCTTGGTATGGGAGGTTCACATTTCTTAGTTTTCAATGAAATTTTAGCTAAAACAGATCTTCCAGAAACCTTTCCCGTTCAATGAAATTTTGTTCATTTCTTATATTGAATTCTAAGGGTCCGTTTGATTGCAAATGTGGAATTTGGATGGAAAGAAAACGAATTTCAGAGAATTGAATTGATGGGAAATTGTTTTCTTGAAAATTGTAAATTATTGTGTTTGATTGGTATAATTTTCCACGTGGATAATGTTTAAATTAAAGTATTTTTTGATGTCCGTTTGACTTTATTTTACATGAAAATTGTCAATTAAAGAGATAGAATTTACTGGTATTGGGAATAAAATTTGTTTCCATTGCCAAAACCCAAAAAAAAAAATTCAAGAAAATCATCTATCTTTGGTATTCGTTTGACTTTGTTTTATATGAAAATTGTCAATTAAAAGGAAATTTTTTTTACAATAAATCTTAGAATTTGTTTCCATTACCAACCAAAAAAAAAAAAAAACAAAAAAAACAAAATGCTACAATAACATGGAATTTCAATTGTCACCATTTTGGTGAGAATTGGTTTTCCTTAAAAACCAAGAAAAGATCAATTCTCAAAACAAGCAAGAAAAGGTAATTCCATGGAAACAAAACCCTATCAAACACCATGAAATTGGAAAAAGGAATTCTATTTCCATTTTCCATGGAAAAAAACCACATACCAAATATACCCTTATTGTTTTCACAAACAAGAGTTTTGTATTTATTTTGTTATTGGTGTAGAATTTGTAGATTTTACAAAAAAAGGTATTTGAAGATGTGAAATGTTTGCTTGATTGTCATTCTTTTGTCGACCGTATATTGTATGTTAATGATAATTTATTTTTACTTTTATAAATAAATACAATCAATGATGTAATGATTTTGTGAAATTAGGTTGTCTATGTTTAGGTGCATAAGTGAAAAGTTAATTACTCATTGATTGGTATATTTCTGTTTAAATTAAAGTAGAAGAAGATTTTTTTATATTTGATATTGCAAATAAATTGTAAATTGAATTTAGCAAAATGCTTTTCTTTAACAAGTATATTTCCAGCACTACTTCTGTCTGAGATGGAGTCTTGATTAGAATATAATATTTGGATGGATTTTCCATTTAGATTAGTATACGTTAGCTCTTTCAAAGCTCTCGTAACTATTATGAACACAAACAAAAGTGATGTTATGCCTAAAGGGACAACAAAGGGATAGCTTGGTTCCAAATAGATGTAGATGTTAAAATGGAGATGAACAAGTGCCAAGTGAAAGCATGCTATATATTAAAAAATTCAAATGTTTATTTAGCTTACTACTTAAGTCCTTTTTCTCCATTTGGTTGAACTTGCTCCAGATTTATACAAGGAAAATTTGACTACCCTATCACCACAATGACAACATCGTTGAAATTTTAATGCAACATGACATCTTAAAAATATATTATATCATCTATTCGAATCCACTCTATTACAATTGCAAATAATAGAGTAGGCAAATAAGGCGAGACGTGACAATTTAGATGAAAAAATCTCACAAGATGAAAAAACGCAAGAAATTTTTTATTTTGGGGTGGTTGTTGATTATAAAAAAGATAAATAAATCTCACAAGATGGGCAAAAAAAAAAACTCATGACAAATTCTATTTCTGTCAATCAATGCAACCACAAATGGCATATGCTTTATATAGAAAAATCCTAGGAATTTTTTTTTAAAAAAATGGAAAAAATCAAGATAATAACTAAAATTGAAAGTCCTAATCTTAAGGATCATCCTCCAACAAACGGAATTCAAATCCGACTTAAATTCATCGAGATATAACCAAAATAAAACTTACTAAAAAAATCAAACAACGTATAAATGAAGGAATTTGCCCAAAATTGGCCCCTTGATGCTGATTTTGGTTCGTTGGCATGATTCCAATCAAATTTGACTAAAATTCTAAAAAAATTGACAATCCTAAAATTTCTCAAAAAATCGGGAAGTTGAGAAGAAAGGCATGGAGAAGAAGAAACCAAAATCATAACCGAATCATTAATTTTTTTATCATACCATAACCGCACCATAACCACGTAAGTAGGTTTCAGTTCAATTCAATTCAATTCGTATCTGGGTTTGGCTCGATTCGGGACTGTTAATAACTATGAAAATAAATTATTTTTCATAGGTCCAGTCGTCAAATTGAAAAAAACAATTTATGAAAGAAAGTCACACATGATGGTTATCAACTGATAGTCGAGTAAATTATATTAGAGTACTTCAAACAGCGTTGTTGATCACTCACCAAATCAAAATTGTACAAAGGGTCGATAAAGGGTATATCTATAAGAAGGCGGTGATTTATGATACCAAGAGTAATTTCTAGGTTATTGATGACAAAATCAAGAAAGGTAAAAACTATATATACTTAATTTCAAGTCAATCCAGATGCCTAAAACTAACTAAATGATCAAATTTACCGTGAGAGAATAAGTTTTTAGAAACTGAAATTGTTGATTGAGTTTGCTTTAAGAGCGAGTGAGTTGATAACCATCATGTGTGACTGCAAAGGAAGAAAAAAGACCCCTGTGGAGTTTGCAAAATTAGATATTTTTTTATACATATTTTGCATTAAATTACTATTTAGGTGGAAAAAATAAATTTAACGAGTAATTGGTTCGGTTTGGGGCGAAGGCATAAAAACCATATCTGCACCGCTCCGAACCGGTTCATTAAAATCAAATATCATATTCGCCCCATTGTACTATCGGTTCGATTTTTTCACCCCGTTCGTTTCGGTTAACTGCAATTTTCAGTTTTGATAGTTCAAATTGCCATCCCTACTTTGAAACCACGGATAAAATATATGATTTCAAATTTACATTTGCTTAAGGTATAACCAACTTAACGAGGTAATATTATCAATTACTTCTTTCCTCACCCCAAAAGCTTCAAATGCCCATTGCCTACTCACTTCTGAAACCACAGTGCAATCATCTCACACAATTAATCTTCTAACATCAAAATATCCAAATTCAAGATTGTAGAAAAATGATTATAACTACATAGCAAAAATTTAACGTCACACATACCAGTAAAGAGGCATAACTAAACTGTTGAAATTTGTAAGTTTCTCAATAACCTAATACCTAACTCCGCGCTGCATGGAGGTCTCCACGCTTGGAGATCTCCGCCCTGTGAAATTGTATAGTCTTGGAATTTTGAGCATGGAATATGGTTCTTGGTTTTACTGTAAAACTTAAAAAAAAAAAAAAAAAAGGAAAGCAATGTTAATGTCAATGTTCGATTCAATGTAGTGGTGGAGGGCTCTGCATTTTTACAGCATTTATTTTGTAGCCATGTAGTTTTTATAGGTAAAATTTATTTTGGCATTTTACAGCATTATTTCAATGTAAATAGAAATAATGCTTATTTCTGTTATTCTTTAATGTAGGGAATTGCTGGGCATTCTCTACGATTGCTGTTGTTGAAGGAATGAATAAGATTGTAACGGGCGAGTTGATAACTTTGTCTGAGCAAAAGCTGGTTTATTGTAATAAGATGTATAACCAGGGGTGCAATGGGGGTCTTACGGACTATGTCTTTGATTTCATCACTAAAAATGGTGGCATTGATAGTGAGGAAGATTACCCTTACTGAGCACTAGATTGCAGGTGTGATCAATCTCGGGTATGTTTCATAAGGAAAATTGTGAGAAGAGAATTGAAAAGGAAAATAATTCTTGTATATTTCATTGAGAAATAATAAGGTATATATATACATCATACCTTATTTCTGTTATTCTTTAATGTAGGGAATTGCTGGGCATTCTCTACGATTGCTGTTGTTGAAGGAATGAATAAGATTGTAACAGGCGAGTTGATAACTTTGTCTAAGCAAAAGCTGGTTTATTGTAATAAGATGTATAACCAGGGGTGCAATGGGGGTCTTACGGACTATGTCTTTGATTTCATCACTAAAAATGGTGGCATTGATAGTGAGGAAGATTACCCTTACTGAGCACTAGATCGCAGGTGTGATCAATCTCGGGTATGTTTCATAAGGAAAATTGTGAGAAGAGAATTGAAAAGGAAAATAATTCTTGTATATTTCATTGAGAAATAATAAGGTATATATATACATCATATGAAAATCAATTTAGGTCCTAAAACAAAGCATATACATTGTCATTGCCTATTCATACTCCTTTATAAATGAAAAATACATTAACAGCAATTGATGGTGGTTGGCTGAGATGATTGAAGGACATTCCTGACTTTGTGCCTTGATTCACTTTTAATTCTTTAACACTCCCCCTCAAGTTTAGATTATATGTTGATAATTCCTAACTTGCCAAGTAAAGTCGAAAAATGTGAAGAACTCAACGGCTTTGTAAAGATGTCAGCTGGCTGGTGTGATGTGGATATATGAGTCATTTTGACCATTCCTTCTTGAACCTTCTCCCGTACAAGATGACAATCAATTTCTATATGTTTTGTTCGCTCGTGAAAAATTAGGTTTGAAGCAATATGTAGTGTCACTTGATTGTCACAATATAGATTGGCAGGATGTGAGTGTTGGATGCCCAAATCTTGTAGGATGTATTTCAACCAAGTAATCTCACAACAAGTTGCAGCCATAGATTGATACTCAACTTCTGCACTAGATCGTGATATCGTAGTTTGCTTCTTGGTTTTCCAGGAAATTAATGAACTTCCAAGAAATATACAATACCCAGTGACAGATCGTCGAGTATCATGACATCTAGCCCAATCCGCATCACAAAATGCATTTAATTGGATTGAACTATCTGTAGGAAGAAAAAGGAAGAAAAATTCCTTGACCTGGTGTTTGCTTCACATAACATAATACACGATAAGCTGCTGCTTGGTGTGGGACTCGTGGTTTGTCCATAAATTGGCTTAGAACATGTACTGCATATGTCAAATCAGGTCGTGTGATAGTCAAGTAAATTAGTCGTCCAACAAGCCTTCGATATGAAGAAGGATCACTAATATCGTCCCCATCAAACTTACTAAGGGACAAGTTTTGCTCCATGGGAAAAAAGATTGGTTTGGCCCCTAGATAACCAACATCTTCGAGAATTTTGAGAGCATACTTTCGTTGTGAAAGAACAATGCCTTTGTTGGATCGTGCAACTTCTATTCCAAGAAAATATTTCAATTGCCCAAAGTCCTTCAATTTAAATTGATCTCTTAAAAATGACTTGGTATCTTCAATGTCTTGTAGATTATTTCCTGCAAGGATGACGTCATCTACATAAATAAGGAGAGTAGTGAATTTACCATCTTGGGATCGGACGAACAAGGAATAGTCGGCCTTTGATTGTTTGAAGTTGGCTTGTTTGAGGGCAGTGGTGAGTTTGATAAACCATTGGCGAGATGCTTGTTTGAGACCATACAATGATTTGTGAAGCTTGCAAACTCTTGTCTCCCCCTTTCGTCAGAAACCAAGAGGTAAAGTCATGTAGATATCTTTATCAAGATCTCCATGCAAGAAAGCATTGTTGACGTCAAGCTGGTGAAGGTGCCAATGTTGGGTTGAGGCCACAGCAAGGAGGAGGCGAACAGTCACAAGCTTTGCAACTGGAGCAAAGGTCTCACTGTAATCTAATCCTTCTATTTAGTTGTATCCTTTGGCTACCAACCTGGCCTTATAGCGTTCGACAGTACCATCGGGTTTGAATTTGATCTTGTATACCCATTTGCAGCTAATTGGCTTCTTTCCTGGAGGAAGTGTCTGAAGAGACCATGTTCCATTAGCCTTGAGTGCAGCAAGTTCTTGTTGCATAGCTAGGCACCATTTGGGATCACAAATTGCCTGTTCAAAGGATGTTGGTTCTTTTTCCACTGAAAGAGAAGTGGTGAAAGCATGGTGTTTGGGTGATAACTTATCATAAGAAACGACATCAGATAAGGGATAAAGAATACGTGTTTCTGTAACCATTGCCGAGTTAGATGATGGAATGTTCCTTGAGGGAAGAGAACCACCAACATGATACTCTTGAAGATAACTAGGTGCCGTTGTTGTTCATGTCAATCGCGAGGAAGGTATCTGTGATTCATGGGATGAAGTTGGAGAGCCAGAACAATTCTGAGCCTTATTTCGTTTCCCTTCCCAATCACAACAAAGGCCGAACATGGCAGAAAATGACAGTCAATTGATCCAAAACTCAGCCAAGCCTGAGGCCAACGGATACGACAATCCAAATGATCCTTTTTTACCTTCATCACTTTGATCATCAGCGAGAGCGCAAGAATAATTTCTCCAAAGCTAATCATGTGGATGCCAATATAATAGCACCTCCCACGCCCTTCATTCTCACGGCAGAGCAATACCAGAACCTCATGGCGATGCTTGATAAGAACAAGTCCAAATCCATGGCTAATCATGTTAGTAGTACATCTGCTATAAGTGATCTCTCAGGTATAACCTTCTGTGCTTCCATTATTGGTCAAGAAATTCATTGGATACTTGACACAGGAGCTACCGATCACATGGTTTGCTCTGCTGACTTATTAACCACAAAATCTTGTGTTACTGATCGAACTGTATATCTCCCTAATCGAAAACTAGTGACTGTCACACACATAGGCAGCATTCATGTGGCTGATTTTACATTACATGATGTGCTTTGTATTCCTTCCTTCAAATTAAATCTCATCTCTATTAGCATACTTGTTTGCAATTCCCATTATCTTGCCACATTTACTAAGAATACTTGTATGCTACAGGACCAACGATCGGGGAAGATGATTGGGATGGGAATTGAACGAGGAGGACTTTACTACCTTGATACTACGCAGAAAGCCAGATGCAACTCAGCTACCTCAACAACATGTCAACTTTGGCATAAACGCCTTGGTCACCTTTCAAATAAGAGTCTACGTTTACTTTCCCATTTAGATACAAAAATAAAATTTCATGATGTTTCTGATTGTTTAATTTGCCCATTAGCCAAACAAACTCATTCTAAATTTCCATTAAGTTCAATTCATGCTCTGATACCATGAAAAGGAAAATAATTCTTGTATATTTTATTGAGAAATAATAAGGTATATATATACATCATACGAGAATCAATTTAGGTCCTAAAACAAAGCATATACATTGTCATTGCCTATTCATACTCATGTATAAATGGAAAATACATTAACAGCAATGGATGGTGGTTGACTGAGATGATTGAAGGACATTCCTGACTTTGTGCCTTGATTCACTTTTAATTCTTTAACAAGAATATCAATTTTTAAAAATTTCTTTGAACTATGTTTTCGTGTGATAAACACGACCTTTCTTTTGGTTGGTTATACATTTGAATTTTTTATTGTATAACATACTTTCACTTGGCACTTGTCCATCTCCATTTTAACTTCTACATCTACTCGGAACCGAGCTATCCCTTTAGGCATAACATCCCTTTTGTTTGTGTTCATAATAGTTGGGAGAGCTTTGCAAGAGCTGGCCTACACTAATCTAAATGAAAAATCCATCCAAACATCATATTCTAATCAAGACTCCACATCAGGCAAAAATAATGCTGGAAATATACTTGTTAAAGAAAAACATTTAGCTAAATTCAAGTTACAATTTATTTGCAATATCAAATAAAAAAAATTCTTAATCTAATTTAATCTAAACAGAATTATATCACTTATGCACCTAGACATATACAACCTAATTTAACAAAATCATTACATCATTGATTATATTTATTTATAAAAATAAAAATAAATTATCGTTGATATACAATATACAGTCGATAAAAGAATGATTAATCAAGCAATTATTTCACATCTTCAAATTTTTTTGTAAAATCTCCAAATTCTACACTAATAACAACAAAATAAATACAAAACTCATGCAACACACGTGACATAAACTAGTAATTAATAAAAATAATAATGATTTAAGAGTACGAACGGCTTGCAAATGGTTGAGTAGCCTCATTGCTTAGTGTGTTAGGCTTAATGACAGAGGGAGGGAAGGCAAAATAATCAGGCCCATGTGTTTTTTGGGAGGCAAAATTCTCAAGCCCATCCCGAATAATAAATCGAACGATGACAAGAAACATAATCTCCTCCCCAATTCTATTTATCTTACTAATAGTAAGTACGTGCTTTGCACGTCTTATGTATTAGGTGAATTATATACGTAATATTTTTTGAAAGTTGTAAAGATAATTGATATTGTTAAAAAAAAGTATAATTATTTTATTAAATATAATAAATATATGAATAAATTTTTTTATGGAAATGTGTATATAACGTTAAAATATTGAATAAAATGAAATATATATAATCTTTTAATTACAAGAGCACTTCTTAGAATACAATATTTTTTATCGTCTCATGACCTTTCATTCTTTTATTTGCAGTTCACATAAACACAAATATACAAATCATATAAAAATATTCATACATATACAAATTATTGGAACATCTAATATTACAAGTAAAACACGAAAGTAGTATAGATCTAACTCTGGACAAAGAATCAAACTATACATAAAAAAATAAAATTTATTGAAAAAATCATTTAATAGATGCAAACACTAATTCCTACATAACTGAAAGAAACTACCATGGAAAATAGTTTTGACATAATATGGACATAAATATAAAATTTAGAGAATGATAATAATTTTGAGGCATAGTAATTAAAAAATTTAAATATTAAAGGAAAAACGATGTAATTTACTCAATGAAAATTTGGAATCTTGATTTTTTTATTTCACATAAAATATACAAAAGCAGAATCAAATACAAAACGAAATTATTAAAAAAAAATGTCCTTGATGATGAATAACCAAAAATATATTATATGTAATAAGTAAGTGGAATACCATAAGTTTTTATGCATATACAAAAATAACATGAAATAATAATAAAATACCCAACACCACATTAATATCTTTTTCAGAAACACAATTAATCTACTATTATATTAAAGAAGACCTTTATACATTGCAATATTTTTTTATTTTATGAATATGTATTATATATATTTAGCTTCAATTTTAAATAATTAAACTTAAATTGATTAATATAAAGTACTATAATGTAAAGTAATGAAATTTATATTTTAAAGGAGATAAAATGAAGTAAAGTTATATTAAATTTTTGGACTTATAATAGAATTGGTAATTAATAACAATTATTGTTCATTTAAAACTAAAAGCTTGGTTGTCAGAAATAAAATAAAGGGCAAAAATGGAAATTAAAAGTTTTCCATACCAATGTTTCAATTATTGACATTATTGTTTTAATACTATATATATAATGTTATCATTTGAAGCATTTCTATTTTATATCATGGGCATAAATTTTAGAAATTGTTACAAATGAATGTAAATAATGTAAACCAATAATGTTTTTAACATGTTTATGTTGAGGATTTAGAATTTCAACAGTTATTATTCAAATAATTAGTTACTTACTATTCAATTTTGATGAACAAAAAATATATCATTAACTATTTCTTTAAGGGTAATGAATGTGATTTTATTTCTGTGATGATTTGATTTCTTTAAAAATCGTTGACCTCGATTTTCCCTTTTAGATATATAATTTTCATTCTTATTGCAAGTATTTTCAATTTTTTCTTATTTCAATGAAGGTAAATTAAGACAAGAATTTTCAATTTTTTTCTTATTTCAATGAAGGTAAATCAAGACAAGAACACATATACAATCATGATTAAAAAAATTATTACATACTATTGTTTTCTAAAAAAAATATATTTATATAATTTCTAATTGTATGTGATAATATTTTTGTTAAATAATTAATAATAATTGTGTTTCGTGGAAATTAATTCACTTAATTTTTGAAAGCAATAATAATTATTAATTGTCTTATTTAGAGGAAATAAATTGAATCATTTGGTATTCTGAAGATAATTATATATGTAGTATTATTATTTCTTTTAATTGTATGTAATAATATTTTTATTAATTGTGTACTAATAATTGTCTTTAGTGGAAATTTATTGACTTAATTTTCAATAGTAATAATAATTATTAATTGTCTTATTTAGAGGAAATAAATTGAATCATTTGGTATTTCATTTTTATCTAAAATTAGGTATACGCATTATTAATTGTCAATCAAAACAAATTTTAAATAAGGGTAAATAATAAATATAGCATATTAATGCAACATTTCATTTTTTTTTTATATTTTCATTTTGTAAACCAAATGAGGGTATATTGGACATATAATTGAGGCCGAACTTAAACTTGTGCTCGAGAGATAGCTGTCCGTACACTGATAAGGTAAATATATATTGGTATAATTGGTATTCATAAATTTCTCTTCAATCTACACTTTTAATAAATTGTAGATTATATATATTTTTTTTCAGTTAAGTCTTATTTGAAAAACTAAATGGAGCTTAAATGAGAAATTTTCCATCCTTCCTTACCCCTGTCCATCTCGACTCCCAAAAATTGTTGATGATGATAATAGTTGCTCTAGCCTCAGGATCTGACTAGTTCCGTTGTCATCCATTATATTTGAAAAATACTTGTACTTAACTATTTATGTAATATTTTACATAATGATGATGTACGTATATGAAGAAAATCCACATAAAACAGTGGGATGCCTATTCACACAAGAACACATTTATGACTTCAGTATCCCTTTTTTTACTTTAAAAGTATGATTAATTACACTTAAATTAAAAAAATAAAAATTGTCAGGCATTTCATCACGTGTAATTTAATTAGATGACTCATTAATTAATTTTATCATCTAGTAACATAAAGTGTCACATAAATCGGTACCCTGTAACACAACTAATGTTGAATAATGACTGTGTGCCAGAAAGTGTGTGACAGAGAGCATGACAAAATGTGTAATGGCATGATGTGAGTTGTTGAAAAAGTTAATTGTATTTTAAATAGTCCAATGACACATTGTCATGTGATATTATGTTAAAAATTATTGCAATCATTATGTTCGTATAGCATGATTGACTATTGTTAAATATTATTACCCTTTTTTGCTTCCTATTTTTATTTTTATTTTTTTATGACGAGAAATTCGCAGTCGCTACCCTTCGAATGCGCACTGAGAAAAATCTTCTGACTAACGTAATAGTCTGCAAATCACGCCAATCAGGTAAACTGCACTAGACAAGTCCGATGCGACAGACCCGATCGAAAAAGTGTTGGTAAGGAGAATCAAACGCATGACCAAAAACCTCCGCGCTAACCTACTCCATCAACTTGATCACCCTATGAGGGCCTTTTTGCTTCCTCCTTATATATTGTCTTCTGTTTCTTTATCTCCCTCAAATCCATCATGGCTAAATGCTTTCCTCTGTTTTTTTTCATAGCTTTTTCTCAGGTTTTACTCATTTCTTCTGAAACTGAGTTTGAGAAAACTCAAACTTTTATTGTCAAAGTTCAGAATAATTTGAAACCTTCTGCTTTTTCTGATGTTGAAAGGTGGTATAAATCCACTCTTCAAAGCCTTACTTCATATCTTGAATCCAACCAAACAGATAAAACCCAAGAAATCCTACATGTTTATAGAACTGTTTTCCATGGATTTTCAGCTAAACTCACCCCAGAACAAGCCCAAGAACTCAAAAATCGTCGCGAAATTCTCGCTGTTTTACCTGATCGCCTGCACCAATTACACACAACTCGGTCAACTCACTTTCTTGGATTGTCCTCAGTCAATCATTCTGAACTGTTAACCGAGTCTGATTCGGGCTCTAATGTTGTTATTGGGTTCCTCGACACCGGAATATGGTCGGAGCGCCGAAGCTTCCACGACGAAGGACTCGGGCCAATTCCGACTACCTGGAAAGGCGAGTGCATTAAAGGTGATAATTTCACCAAAGCCAACTGCAACAAAAAAATAATTGGTGCTCGATATTTTATTGCCGGATATGAAGCCCATGAAGGTGGACTTGATGGCACTGAAGAAATTAAGTCTGCTAGAGATACATTGGGCCATGGAACCCACACCGCCTCCATCGCTGCTGGCAGAGCCGTGAGCCACGCCTCTCTTTTTGGTTACGCCCGTGGGGTGGCGGTAGGAGTTGCACCTAAAGCTCGTATTGCAGTGTATAAAGTCTGCTGGAAAAATGGCTGCATGGGTTCTGATATTCTCGCCGGCTTTGACAAGGCAGTGGAAGACGGCGTCAATATCATTTCAATCTCTCTTGGTGGTAGTTTCTTTGGTACCTCGCCATATAATCTGGACTTCATTTCAATCGGATCTTTTGGTGCGATGGAGAGGGGCATTTTTGTCTCGGCATCGGCTGGAAACGAAGGTCCTTATAAAATGTCGGTCACAAATCTTGCTCCATGGATCACCACCGTAGGTGCTGGCACGATTGACAGAAAATTTCCAGCTGATCTCGTACTTGAAAATGGGCAGGTGATCACCGGCGCATCAGTCTATAGCGGTGATCCATTGCCGGAAAATGCTTATTTCCCCATTATTTATGCCGGAAATGCATCAGCCAAAGGAAGTTCCATGGCTACCTTTTGCATAGAGGACTCACTTAACAAAGAATTAGTGCGTGGTAAGATTGTGGTATGTGACGCGACAGGCACATCCGGCGTTTCCAAAGGTGAGGTTGTCAAGAAAGCTGGTGGGGTCGCCGTGGTGATTGCTAACGTAGCACCCATCGGAGAAGGCCTTGTCGCTGATTCTTATCTGATTCCCGGTCTCGCCATTACCGAATCAGCCGGTTATAACGTCCACAATTTCTTAAAATCCACCCCCAACCCAAAAGCAAAAATAATTTTTCGGGGGACTGAAATCAGAGTAAAACCGGCACCTGTTGTAGCATCCTTCTCATCAAGAGGCCCCAGCATGTATTCCGATTATCTGCTCAAGCCCGATGTTATTGCACCAGGTGTAAACATTTTGGCGGCTTGGCCCGATGGCCCATCCCCTACTGAACTAGCCACTGACCCGCGGCGCACTGAATTTAATCTGCTTTCAGGAACATCAATGTCGTGCCCGCATGTTTCCGGGGTGGCGGCGCTGCTGAAAGGGGCCCACCCTGACTGGTCACCAGCAATGATCCGATCAGCTCTAATGACCACTGCTTATACTAAAGATCTTGAAGGGAATCCATTGCTTGATGAAACATCTTATAATCTAGCAACAATATATGATACTGGTGCAGGACATGTGAATCCTAAAAAAGCTGTTAATCCAGGATTGGTTTATGATTTAACTCTCAATGATTATATAAATTTTCTATGCGCATCAAATTTTACTCCACCAGAGTTACAACAGATTGCTAGGAGGCCTGTGAGTTGTGGGAAGAAGCAATCTAAGCCTTGGAATTTGAATTATCCAGCCATTTCAGTTGGTTTTAAAGCTTCCGAACAGTTGGATTGGACTATTGTTGTTAATCGGACAGTTACCCATGTTGGTGACAATACAGCTAACTACCGTGTGAGAGTGACAAATCCCGAAGGTGCGATTGTTACAGTAACTCCATCGAAAATGGATTTTAAAATGAATGGTGAAAAGCAGAGTTATGCGGTCAAGATCAAGGCTGAGAAGTTGGCGGCATCACCAGGATATTCAGTGGGGAAGATAATTTGGTCAGACGGGCGGCACCGAGTGGTTTCGCCTGTGTTGGTCGTGTGGTGGAAATAACTGGGATTTTATATCCTTTGTTTCTGTTATATAGTTTTAGAAAAAAATAAAATAAAATAAGACAGTTGCTTTGTGACAACAAAAAGATGATATTAATTAGTGGTATTGAGAATGAACGATGCAAAGCCAAATATTGCTACATTATAATGACTGCTTAATTATTATATAGAAAAAGGAAAATTAATGTCTACCGAAGAGGTAATGCACGTTTTTATATGGAATGATTAATTTTTTGTTTTGTTTTGTTTATTTTTATGTTTCTCGAAACAATATTTTTGAATAGATGCTATTCTTGGACGATCAACAAAATTCTTGTGAGATGATATCGCTAAAAGTTAATTTTCATTACTTCACTTTATCAACTCCATTTAGGAAATTACTGGTTTAAGAATTGAATTTTGGTTAAGTATATACTTTGGAAAGTGACTTCGTGTTAACTTTGATCAAATATTTGGATTTAATCGGATAATCAAATTATAAAGGTAAATAGGCTAACTTGTTCTACTCGTCACGAAGATTATCGTGGTATATTTTGGAATCTCAAAATTAATTTAGGATGAATGAAAAATTGCGATCCAAAATTGGAAGAAAAATTGGCCTAAATTTTGGCCGAACTCCGTCGTTTGCCTATAGCTCAAGCTACAGGCAGGCAAAAAGCTTATGTTAAAAATATTGACATTGTCGCTTGAGTAACAGGTCAGCGACAGCAATTGATGCTTCTATTCGTAAGGTTGCGAGATTTGGTACGCAACTCTTCGCCCACAACCTATCATTCTCTATATATAGGACCCCTTTAATGTTTATTTGTAAACTCTTCGTCAAAAGTGATTTTATTTTTTATTTTTTTGCATAAAATTCATAGTTGGTAAAGAGAGAATTTTTTTCAAGTTCATTGGTCTAAGCCATTTAGAGTGCTCCTATGGCTTGACGTCGTCGGATTTTGAAAGATGATTGTCAAGAAACCGTTAGCACCGATACTAGACAAATTCATCTTAAACACAAAGTGTCAAACATTTTCCTCGACCAATCGCATCACTTGCATCTCCTCTCTCTTCTTTTTGATTTCTTTCTAACTTAGTATTTGATTTCAGAAATTGACCATCTTTCTTTGATTTCATGTAAGGTTTAAATTAAAGAATGCAATGACTTCTATTTCAAGAATGGAAAGGATTGAATCCATCGTCATGCATTCGACTTTGGTAATTATCATTTCACCTTCTCAAATCTCATTTGTTAAGTCGAAACTGTACGTTTTGAAAAATATAATGTATGCACATTATTGGTACAATATCCTCAATAATCTTAAGATGAATTTTTTGTGTTGTGCATTTTATATTTTTATGCATAAATCAGTATTAAAATTCTGTTTAGAATCATTAACTGAACATCTAATACTACATGACAAAAGGTTCAAAGAATTGGAAACCCACTTTTGTGCATGTGATGGATATCATTAAGTGTGTTCTATTTTATGGGAACTCATGGTGACGAAAAAGAATTGATAACAGTATATTTTGTGCGAAATCCATACAGACTTAATTTATATGGTTGAATCGTTGCCAACTAATAACTTGAATATATATGCATTTTTTTTAATGGCCATTAGTCTGCATCTCTTGATCATTTTACGTGTCTATTATGTGCATGAGCCTTGCTTCTATTTAATTAATCTTGAAAAGGCAGCGGTTGAATTCCGTGAAGGTTCTAACATGATATATAAGGAGTGACCTTTCTTGAATTTTCATTTGCATGAGAACATGTTCATGGCCGATTGGTGGTGAGAGGCGGCGGAGGGAGTTGCCCAAGTGCCAAATTATTATAAATAAGGAGAATGTAAAATGGGCGTGGTGCATTTTATTAGTTTATATCCTGATTCATGAAGATGGGATTGTTGGAATATACGACATCAACAGTCTTCCTCCAGAGATTTCCATCTCAATAGTTCAGATTCCACCTCCAGTTGTCAATGTTAGTTAGTAGTTATGTTCGTTAGCTTGTTAGTTAGGTTAGTTGATTGATTAGTTAGAAAGTTAGTTAATTACTCTACCATTTTCTCTATAAATAGAGTCATTGTATGCATTGAAAAATCATTGGATTGTTGTATTCCAATCCCTCCTTTCATGAATGTTTATCTTCCTCCTTTCATGGAGTGTCATCTTCCTCCTTTAATGAAGTGTTATTTTCATCCTTTCATGGAGTGTATTTTGTTCTTCTACTTTTATGAAGTTCAATACATTGTTTGAATTCAAGAATTTAACATGGTATTAGAGCTTAATTGCTTCCTATTGCTGTCTTCGTTTTTCAGCATTTTACTAGTATCAAAGTAGATGAAATCTGAAGATAACTTTGGCTTCAAATCATCAGCCAATTTGTCTGTATCTGAAGATAACTTTGGCTTCAGATCATACGTCGATTTGATGCAATCGGAATTTCAATCTTCAAGACTTTTTCTTCGGTTCAATACCAACAACATGCAAGCACATCTTCCTCTTCTGTATTCTTGCGAGTAGTTGGATGTACAGGTTGCCTTCCAGTAGGCACTTGAATTGAAGCAGCAGGGGCGATTGTGTCAAGTTGTAGGAGATGTTCATGTAAGTGTTATGCCCTAGATCCAATCGATTTAGGTTGTAAACGCTTTTAATATATTTAATGCATTTGATTTTGGCGAGATCTATTATTTATTTAAATTAATTTTGTAATAAATAATATTAAATAATAGAATCCGAAGACCCAATTTTAGGTAATCTGTTAATCACAAGGAGTTGTGATTGTGAGATACTAATTACATATAATTGGATCTTGAATAAACCATGGTCGTAAGTAATAACGAGATGCAGATATCGTTAATACAGTTAGACCATCACGTGTGGCATTTCTTACTTATGAAGTAAGTAGCTTATCTCACGAGCTAAAGTGTGGTGACACTTAAATGAACATGTGGATGTTTTGTTGTAGAACAAAACATTGGAGACCCACTAAGAGATTCCACATGGATAACTATCTGAGTGTCAGTGGCTAATCTCTAACGTTCGGTAGTGGGATTGATCCTTTGACTTGAGGTCGTCATAGTACCCTATATGAGGACAGTCATACTTTGGCGGTGTTGGATGTTGCTCTGAAAGGGGCCGCTAATACGACATCGTTCGGGTACGTCAAGAATCGTATGAAGGTTGTGATTGATCAATAAAGGATTCGTCACTCTTAGATAGTAGGAGATGATCTGCGTTTCATTCAATTAAGTCGATGATGAAATCCTTGGCCAAGGTGTACTCATAAGTCGAAAAGGAGTTTTCGATTTATATTGACTTATAGTGGAATGAAAGATA